AATGCAATGTAATATACGTTCTTATTTAAAAAAAAATTATGTATTTTATTTGACTAAAGATTTAGAGAATCAATACCGTCGAATCCTTCGGCACCATGGTGCAATCACATTGCAATCACATCAATTAAAACATGGGTGTAAATAAAAGACAACACAATAAACAGCAAATTTTCCACATCACAAAAAGTAGATAATTCAAAGAAAATAAGACCAAAAACCAAATTCTAAGGTAGACATGTTTTAGGCAGCCAGAAAACGCAAGGACTGCTTGAGCGAACGCCAGCGTCAGTATGCGACGGCAAACGTCGCGTAGCGCCATATTGGACGTCAGCCCCTCCTATAACTGCCACTGGCTGTTACACAATTATCTCGAAAGGCGGAGCCATGTTTTGATTGACAGCTGGTCCTGATAAGAATGCACTTGTTCACTGTTTTATTTGGAAGTCCATGGACTGCAGTTGATGCTCCAGCGTTTCTTATTGCCACGATCAGTGCCGGTTTGATTGCACCGAGTTTTTTCTTTCAAATTGTTTTCTGATGCGCCGTAGGTATACAAATTGATTAACAATTACTACTCTACATTTTTTATTATTTTTTATTTCTGAAGTTTGTTAGTAGGTAGGTAGGTATAGGTACATACCTACTAGGTAAGTAAGTTAGTACTAAGAAGATGTTATTTAAATTTAAAAAAATATTTCTTGACCCTGAATATAATATAAAAATAAGTTACCAATTTTCATTGTTTCTGAAGAATACCCATTCAATTTGTTTACCAGTCTGAAATTTAAGCATATTGAAATTAATATAAAACGAAAAATGATTCGGGATACTTAAGAAGATGTTCAGTGGATTAGTTGGATCTGGCATTCGAAAAATATTATTGTCTACTTAAGCATCCCAAGTAGCATTATAGTGACAAAAACTGATATCTCAACTTCAAATGAGTTGCAATTACGTTAAAATAACTAAATCCACTATGATACATTTAAAATATCTTCATATTATATTGACATAGTTGTAATCATGTGATTTGCACCAGCAGAATATACTTCATAGTTTTATAACTTTTTGGTGTATCAATCTGGTATCTAAAATGTTATGACCACTTTTGACACCACCTTATAAAGTTGTCCAAACGGCAACCAAACCACATCACTTAAGTATTACTTTAAGGTGGTAGTAGTAGTAAAGTGGGTATACCAGTTTTGGCAACGTTTTCGGAATTTTTCCCAAACCTTGAATGTGGCAGAACTTGATTATATAATTGCGGTGGTCATTGCCACGTTCTTGCTACATGCTTAAGTGATTTCCACGTTTCGCATAGGATTACCACTTTAAAGTTCCCTTCTTTAAAAGCAGATGTTTACAAATAGGAAATGTGTAGTTTTAAACAAATAATTCTGGTTAGTACCTCACCAAATTTAACACGTTAATAAATAATTATTATAATTATTGGTTTTAGGTGACCAGAAATAAAACCGACCTTTGTTATACCTTAAATAACAGGTAATGTACTCTCTAAAAATGAATTAGTCAAAAGTAACTAATTTAATAGTTAATAGTGGCTGCTTTTTCACTTGTGCCATGGTTAACCATACCCATTCAATTTGTTCACCAGTCTGAAATTTATTAAGAAGATGTTCAGTGGATTAGTTGGATCTGGCATTCGAAAAATATTATTATTATACTTAAGCATCCCAAGTAGCATTATAGTGAGAAAAACTGATATCTCAACTTCAAATGAGTTGCGTTAAAATAACTAAATGCGTTAAAATAACTAAATCCACCACGATACATTTAAAATATCTTCATATTATATTGACATAGTTGTAATCATGTGATTTCCACCAGCAGAATATACTTCATAGTTTTATAACTTTTTGGTGTATCAGTTATCTAAAATGTTATGACAACTTTTGACACCACCTTATAAAGTTGTCTAAACGGCAACCAAACCACATCACTTAAGTATTACTTTAAGGTGGTAGTAGTAGTAAAGTGGGTATACCAGTTTTGGCAACGTTTTCGGAATTTTTCCCAAACCTTGAATGTGGCAGACTTTGATTATATAGTGATTAAGTGATTTTCACGTTTCGCATAGGATTACCACTTTAAAGTTCCCTTCTTTAAAAGCAGATGTTTACAAATAGGAAATGTGTAGTTTTAAAATTAATTAATAATTACAACAAAATAAAAACCCCTTAACTTGACGGCTTGACATACTATACAGGGTGTTCCGAAAATGGCTCCATTTAAGGGGTTCGCTATGAGAAAATGTTGAAAAACATTGACTTTCTATTTTCCGAGTAAAAACTATTGTTGCTAAGACTACATGGGCTGTTATCGTTTATTATTGCTAAGAGTGTTTTGAATATTAATAATAATTTATTTGCTAGCATATAAATTATTATTAATAGCTAGCATAGTAGCATAGTAGCTACTTCTAAAGGTATAAGTGCATACGAGAAAAAAACATCGATTTCTTATTGTCATGTTGTAAGATATGCGTTAATTAAATACATCTCCTATACTATAATGATTTTTTGTTTCTTATATGCACTTAAGCCTTTAGAAGTGATATTTAAATTTTTGTTTACTTTTACATATGTACAAGCAAAATTATCAATCTGTCATTCTCGTCCAGAAGATCCGGCAACACTGGATTACAAACACGTAATTATCTAGGGATATTTGGTTTGATTTATTTGGTGACTACCATAATTACGTTTAGAACTTCTATATTAGAAGTAAATTATTAAAAAAAACTCAATTCATTCAATTGTAAGGTTTTTCTCCATTTTGTTTTTAGCTCTTCTCTTTAGACTTTCTCTGCATTCAACATACTACATAAATATGTTGCTTTATTTTTTCCCATACCTACCATAATTTTCTTTATAGTGGATTTCATTTGATTTCAAAACACAGCATATAGAAATGTCACTGCCACTGCTAAAGCTAAAAACGTTATCATAGAAAACAACTATACACAACTCGCAATGTAGTCGCGTTTAGATCTACTTTTTACGTTTTTAATTCACGTTGTGTGTTACAATATATATGTATTAAAATAAAACAATAAATGTTGTTTTTGCAAGTTGGTACCTTAAGGCAATGCTGTGTTCGAAGAATTCTTAGTTTGCTTTATATCACACAGAATTTTTTTTTAACTACAGCGTGATATAGGTAACGTGGGTGGACCATTTTCGGGAAATCTTTTATAAAATTAAAATAAGGTTATTATTTAGTTATAAATTGCCTCCTCCATTTAGGGAACTATAGATTAGATATTAGATTTAAAGATGCATACTTAAATTTTCATCTGGTTTCTGTGATTGGCTAAATAAGTAATATTTGCACCATTTAAGAAAAACCAGATAAGTCAAAAATGATTTTTGAAAAATCACATTTTTTCAAGGTAGCCATTTGAAGTCTTTTCTGTTCAGTGCAAATTGAGTTGTTATGATAAATTATGAAACATATAGACCTGTATGTTATATATAATGATTTTAAATGCAAATTATTTATTCCGGTTTTCTTCTAGAAAAAAATTGAAGTCTCTTCATATTTAGGTAAAATGAACAGTCAATTTTATTGTAAATTTGTTTTATTCATAAAATGCATTATAATTCATATGAATACATCCGTATACATGAATATAACGTCAATTTTTTAGATGTCTATAACTAGGGATGTAAGCAAATTTTTATGACAATGTCATGTCACGGTCATAATAAAAATGACTGTCGTTTATTTTTATGACACCCTTAATTGTCATTAATTTTTCACAATTGAAATTTCTGACTGTCAAAAAAATAACTGACAGTCATTAAAATATATGAATCAACCAGGAGATGGAAGTTGCACTTTTTAAGTCATTAGATGACTTTGATGTCGATTACTATAAATCTGAAAAATTTGATTATAACTGGTTTTAAACCAGTTAGATATCTTTATATTCTACTATGATTTTTATTTAACTTTTTGATTTTGTTTCAATTTCGTTTTTTTTTCAAATACATGTATGTTTAAATTTATGTCTAGTAATGTTTTAGTCACTTCAAGTCTATATCTATAGATATACATACATTAAAGATAAGGAAATAAAAATGACCATAAATTACAAAAATCACATGTCAAGTGTCACATAAATAAATGACCAACCCATAACTCGGCAACTAAAACTCAAACAACGAAATTTGGATTTAAATTCACATTTTTTAGAAGTAGAACGAGGCCAAAAGTGAACGAATTTAAGAAAATCACATGTTTTTCTTTGTACGCTTCCAATGAAGTGCCCCTATTGAAAATCAAAATCATTATTTCAATTTTGAAGAATCTGGAAATAAAATTATTTTGGTAGAAATTTATTATTTTTACATTATTGCCTTTGAATATCAGTTTTTACTGAAAGTAATCTTGATTAAATAATTGTACTACGTTTATATTAAGATTATAATATTATTTGTCTAAATATTTTGGTATAAAACATTATCCACATAATGCACGAACTACTGGATAAGTTAATCGCTAATAAATCAGTAAACCACAAAATCCCAAAAATTAAGAAATCATACATTATGAATAAACAGTCCAATTCTGTATCAATATAAACTGAACGAACTGTTTCTGTTTTGCGATTCCCTTGACTTAGCGCCTTTTAAAAACACGCCCACCATCAATAAACTCCTAAAAGACGCAAAATTACCCACGGAACGCATCGAACAAAGACGCATACACACACAAAAACATGATGTATGCACGCATGCTCTCTAAATTACATGCAGGGGCGTGACCAAAACGTTCCCAAACTTCAGTCGCTTCAGAAAACAGGAGCAAAGAGGACGGCGAATCGTCGCTGATTCGAGTGGAACAGGGATCGAGCGCCTGGAGCACGTAACACGAACATACCCGATCGCCTGTGACTCTCGGCAGGACCATACGTAGCCCTATGATGATATATAGAGTAGTCGACTTATAGTTAAACCACGCTGGGAAGTGGCCCAGATTAGAGAGACTTTGCAGTATCAAGTTCTAACCCGATATCTGTACGACCGCTAAGCGCTTAAGACTTTTTAATACTTTCATAGGATTTCACGGAAACCGCTTCGTGTCACGCGTCTCGATCCGGCAGTGATTTGTAAGATATTAATTTTTAACTCATTCGGACCATTTTTAACGTGCACAATTGAAATCATTACGTTTTCGATTCGCTCATATCGTGTCGAGTGTTTTTAACTGTGATAGACTGTGATTTCCTCCATCACCATCATCACCTCAACAAATCTACAATCTAACAGGTGAGTTATTTTTACTTATATTAAAGGATGTGCAATCAAACAATGTTAATTTTAAAACAACTAACTAAATAAACCTTAAAAAGTTCCAAATATAAAGATCAATCAAACTAAATTCCGTCAGTGTTAGCTTTTATTATTATTTAATCATCTAATAAAATTTAAAAAAACGCAATTGATTTGTACGTTTTAATAAATATAGGAACCAAATCTAAGTAAAATATTGTAAAACTATCTATATATGGATCCAAGGACAAAAAGGCAAAGTAAATATCTACATAAATGTACCTAAACATATACCTAAGTGTACTGATTGTTTTATTAATTTAAACACACGTTAAAAAGTCAAAACAAATTTTATTTGCTTTAATGCTTTAATTGCTCATAAATTGTTATCTGTGTTATAATAAAAAAGGATTAGGATACAGCCGTTTACACACACAATATAATGAGCTGTAAATCATTCATTATCTGGCTCCTCGGATAATAAAATTCAGTCTAAAATTATTGTTGTTTAATGCAATCTAAAATGTTCTATTTAAATAGGTGCGATAAAATTATTTTTGTGTAAATTCTTTTTTATTTAATTTACTTGCATACTGAATATGCTAAAATAGTTTCACAGAGGAGCTTGACTCCTGAAGATGATACCATGATAATGTTAACTCAGTATTTTTAAGAAAAAATAATTTTTTTTATTGTAAACTGGCAGAAATTGGTATGGTTTTGATGACTGAAATAAGATATAGTTGCTCGTCTTTTATCCAGAAGTATATTTTTTAAGATTTTTATTGTTTTAAGTAAAGGCTATAGATATTTTTTATTAAATAGGTACAATGCAACATCATGTTTCCTTGGTATACTCTCTAAAAATGAATTAATCAAAAATAACTATTTACTACAGTTATTAGTGGCTGCTTTTTCACTTATACCATGGATACCATGGCATCCCCAAAATTTAACAGCCAATTCTTATGTAAAATAGTCCCCTGAATCCGAAAATACCGTCAAATTTATAAAAGTGGAGCAGTTTTTAAGATATAGTCAATTTCATATTATATGGAAAATTGACGATATCACAAAAACTTTTTTAACTTTTGACGACATTTTCGGATGCAGGAAACAATTTTACATGGAAATTGATTGCTAAATGTTCGGAATACAAATTGCTATTGGCGAGAATTATGTGTGGCTGCTTTTTCGCTATGAATTAGTGATTTTTGATTCATTTTTAAAGAGTATGTATAACATTGTCTCCATACCAAAAATCCTTCATTTAGCAGGATAAATTATAAACGCCCTGTTAAATTGTTGGGAATAAAAAGGACTTATTTCTCTTAAGATAAAACTAATAAAAAATAATTACAGGATAAATTGTTTTAAGGACAGAATGAATCAATAAGAGAAAGAGTGGTTAGAGTTTGACTTGGTGATCCTGTTAAAGCTTGAGGATATGTAGAAAAGCGAGCAAGAGACCGGCGCAATCTGTCGGACTCATTGCAAATCCTCCTTAACACCGGAGAGCTTACCAAAATGGTTAATAATAATATTTCCGAGATACCTTCCTTTAAGGTCAATTCCGATTGCTAATGAGAAAATGAATACCGTCAAGTGATTGGAGCTTGTTTTAGTGTCAAATTAGTGGGGTTGTCGGTAGGCAGGGGAGGGGATGAAAACGCGAGCTTAGTGCCAGCAAAGCTCTCAGACCGACGGCGGCCTCGTCGCGACTTCAACTTGATCCGGTGTAAACCTGGCCAAAGCTGTTTTTAAGCTCCGTACCTTTTTTCATGGACTTAACCGACTTTTGGTCTTTGTTCACGTCGCACCTGGATTTACTTGGAATCTTTTAAGTGATCCCCGCGTTCAGTGATTTCCTCACCGATTTTTGCATCCTTTTATTAACTTTTTTCTTCGCGGTGAGTCCAAGTACAAGTGGAAAATGACATGCTTATTTAGTTGTAATTGTACATAATGATTATCTAGTTCAAATAAACATATCAGTAGATATCAAAAGTAAGCAATAACACACATTTAGTAGTGACGACATGCTTTGTTGCAGCTCCACATGGGATTGTTGGTCGGGTCCTAAGAAATCGCCGTACGAACAACCACACCTCGAAATTTTCGAGATGGAGAGAATGGAATCGATGAACGATCCGACGCTCTGCCTGCAGGACCTGGTGACCGGTGTGACCACGTCTTCGGCGAACAATTCGGATATGCACAACGTTCATCATCTGCACGATTCCGTCAGTGCATCCGTGTCGGTCAGTTCGGCCATGTCCGGCATCATGTCCGGGTCTTCGTCGCTGAATCACCACGTCACCTCGCACGAGCCGTCGCATCACCACGGCGTCGTGCCGCACACGCCGTCTCTTCACCACGAACCTTTGGAGAAACTTAAACGTGGTGAGTTCGTTTTGTTTTGTTCAACTTCAATCCGTCGGACACTTTATGCAATAATTTTTATGCAGTGGGTTTGCCAAAATACGTTTAACCTGTTGTGTACAATAATTACAAAAACTTCTATGTAGGTACTACTACTATTTTTTAGAATTTATATTCTAAAGAAAATGGTCAATATTTTAAAATCTACAAGATAAAGTATTTAAGGGGCTAAATGTCTTATTAATTTATTCTAGACCTAGGCGGTAAAGTGACATTTTTACAGGCTGAAAGAAGAAATGTTCAGGCGAACTTTGGCGAGCCTGGATAATTCTTGAAGCCTGGAAAATCACTTTACCGCCGTGGTTTACACGTTATTTTTCTTCCCACAAAACGACGTAAGTGCAAAATGGTATATTATATATAAAGCGACATCTATACGAAAATATAGTAACCATCCCAATAAACATTTTAAAATAATTTTCAGCATTAACATTGCCTGTTATTATTTTAATTAAACTTAACAAATATTGATACTCTCTATAAAATATTAAAACAACTTCAGAATATGATTATATTAAGAAAATATGTTATCCCCTGATTTTTTTTATTACTATAATTGCTAAATATTATCACAAAGTATTAAAAATTCTTACACGGCAAATGTTAAAGGTACAAAAACTGACAGTTGTATTTATTGAAATTCCGTTTAGAATTTTAAACTTGGGAATCTACCGGCGTTAAAATCTTAAATTTTTCTGTGTAATACAAAATTTATCCTTTAAAAATAGAGAATCGATATAGTAGCAGTTTTTTACAGTAAAAGTGAAGAAAATGTTTTATGGGCACTGTACGCAAAATTTTAAACGCTTTATCAGTTAAATCTAAACTACTACGGCGAAATGAAAAGGTCAGTTCAAACGTTCATTTAATCATTTCAAATATTGGCTTCAATAAACTGTTTAATACTTTTGTATTTTTGTATTGAGATAATAAAATAATTTTCACATTTAGTATTATTTTACAAGTTATGCACTTTATTTTAACGATTGTATGACATTTGACAACTGTTAACGAACTTAAAACTAACTTCAGCCCGTGACTAAAAACCTGTTGCTTACTTTAGCCCGTGACTAAAGCTCCATAAAGCCACAGCTTGTCAATGTGTATTTAAAACGTCACTTAGTGTCATGGAAACATGTAAGATAATGGGCCTTTTAAAGGTGGAAGTATAAATATAAAATTATTTTATTTGACATGCAAGTCATCCACAAAACAGATACACACTTAGATACACAGTTAGATACTTTAGATATAATTTTTGCAAAAATCTATAGGTACTGGTGGTAATTTATTTAAAAAAATTAATTTATAATTTGCTAATATTAGATTTTATCAGGCCGATTATTTTATATAAAGAATACAGATTTTGTTTTAACCAAAAAGGATATCGTAAATCGTAAAAATTTTGAAAATTTTAATTTAAAAAGTTAAAAAAATTTACTGCCTAGGCTTTTGTGATTATTTTTGCAAGGCTAGCCATAGAAACACATATTTTCTCGTACCTATGGAGACGGTAAGATTTAAAAAAAATTGCAAGGTAGATATATTTTTTTAGTAAATTAAAATTTTAATAACAAGAATAAAAACGAATAACAAAAGTCGCACATAAATTTTTGAATAAGATAATATTTTTAAATTTTACTAAAAATACATATTTTTTATGAAATTTCACTAATAAAACTGAAAAATAACCTATAAATATACTATATTTTTATAAAATAATTCAATTGAATTAGTCGGCATATGAAATTTTACTAGGAAATCTCAAAAATAACCTATAAATATATGTATATTTTTTATAAAATATTTTAATTGAAAAATTGGTTTAGGTTATTTTTCAGTGTTTCAAGTAAAAATTAGCTGCACTCGGAATTAGTCTGCATTCACAAAAAAATGATAATCCGAGTTCACGTTCGTATCTTAATCATTTTCGGAAAATGTTTTTTTAAATTCATCCATTTTTCTTTTGCATTGGAAATATTAAAATAATCGAAATCTCGAAAAATCCCGACTCCTGAGAAGTGGAACCCCCACTAGTTACGTCCCTGTAGTATTTTATATATAGTAAACATTATCAATTATTATGCAAAACTAATAAAATACTTGATCGGAAAATGGAACCGTAAATTACACAAATACCTAAAAGTGCCTTTAGAGTTGTTATTTATTTTTATAGGCTTCCTAATATTTAAAAATTCTTCTACATAATTAGCACCTACAATGTAGGTCTTAAATCTTAATTTATAACTTAATTTAAATTTTTGATAGTAGGTTTTTAAGTAACTGATAGGGAATGAGAGTTTGACATACGAGATTGCAGAAAATTTTAATATTTGAAACGAAAAAAAATTCAAAATTGGGTTGTTTATAGTCTGTGCCGAATTGCCTGAAAAATAAATTTGAAGTAATTTTCAAATATTAGTTTAATTTATTAAGTTATTATATGAAATTTGATATGTATATATGATACTGAGAATTATATTTATAATAAATATCTATATAAATTTCCGACGGAAAATGGAACTCAGGTAATTTATCAAATTTATAATATTTAATTATATTTTTAACCGATAATAAATGTGTCTTAAAGGTTACACGGGTTTGAAAATTTCAAAAATCCATTTTTTTATTTTATCCACATTTATAACCCTCTCCTCGAAATTTAACAGCTATGAACATACCAAGAATAGTGTTATTATTATTTTTTTGCAAAGCCATTGGCTTCCACAACACTTACCAATCTTCTTGCTATGGTCATTATTAAATGCAGTAACTCTTCCCAAGAATTTTCAATAACTTTTTAGAGTTGAGCGCGGTTTGTCGTCCTAAATTTTTTTTTCTATATATTTTTTACTATGAAGCCCCACGCATTGCTTTAAGTCAGAAATTATTGCTGGCCATAACAAAACATTTATATTTATGTTGGTGACCCACTCTATTACCAAAACACGAGCCGTTAATAGAATAATTATTTTGTGCTAAAAATCAATTAATCATTTATATGTACTCTCTAAAAATGAATTAGTCAAAAATGACTAATGTAGTAGTTATTAGTGGGTGCTTTTTCACTTGTACCATGGTTAACCATGGAATAGCATGGTATCCCAAAATTTAACAGCCAATTCTTCTTTAAAATTGTCCCCTGAATCTGAAAATACCGTCAAAAATTAAAAAAGTAGTAAAGTTTTTGAGATATGGTCAATTTTCCATTTAATACGGAATTGACTACACAGTAAAAAATCGACTTGAGTAAATCGCCAAAAATCATTGAGTTAATGCGTTGCTGAGTGAAATGTTGAGTAATTTTGTAAATATTATTCTAATTTGTGTATATTTAACTAAAACATTATCTAAGTTACACTTTTTTGTGAAATTGCAATTAAAATTGTGTAATTTTACTAAATATTTGGTTAAACATAAGTAATTACTCATATTTGGGTAATAAAAACTCTAGAAAGTGAAGATTTATTTCTTTCGGTTGAATTCGCGTCTTTCACCTCTTAGTTCCCTGTTGATCTGACGCGTTGCATATTCCTTTAGGATTTGTTTTGGTTAATTAGAGTACGAATATAGGTAAGTTATTCCTGTAATATTATATCCTTATATACATATAAGACTTATCGTATAAGTAATAATATATTGTATATAAAGTATCGAAAACGTATTTAAAGTGGGATATTTAGGGAAAAAATATGGAGTCGGCGTTCGAAAGATGAGCTCAATTATTCGAACATTATTGAACTCTGCTCTAACTTAATAATTATTATTAACTTTAACTTAATTATTACCTACTTTAAGTTTTGATCTTGCTTTAAGTTGTTTGTTTTAGGAGCCATATGCAGCTTATCAGTCATACAATAGAACTTAGCATTATATTATTCTAAAGTACGAGTTTTGTTAATATCTTATCCTATTTTATCATATAGGACATTTTTTATAATATTTATTATTTATTATTTGTTTTGTATTTAAAAGTATATTTATTTTATTTTGTTGGGATCTTTTGCTATTTTGTCATTGGCCATTTTTTAAATGTATACATTTGTTTTGTATTTAAAAGAAAATTTAATTGATAATTTACTATTTTTATACATGCATAATTAAGCTACTCTTTTTAAAAATAATGTACGTTTTTTTTAAATAAAGTTTTGGTTCTATGATGATGTGTAATTTTATAAATTTACCTGCATTAATTAATAATGAGTAGAATTAACACTATTTAGTGAAAACAATTCACTAAAGTGTGTTAAAATTAAATCAAAATAAGTTCAAAGTTACTTAAAAATATGTAAATTTTTACACAATTTTTCGACATAAAACACTTTTTTGAGTTAAAATTCACTCAAAATGTATTAATATATTTAACTCAATAAAAGGTAAATGTTACTAAAAAAAAATGAGTAAATTTTTTACACAATCCGGTGAGGACTCGTTTTGACAACACTTTGAGTTAATTTTGAGTTAAAATCCACTCAAAATTTTTTAGTGTGTATATCTCAAAAACTGCTCCACTTTCATAATTTTTGACGGTATTTTCGGATTTAGGGGACAATTTTACATAAGGATTGGGGTTTGGATACCATGGTATTCCATGGTACAAATGGAAAAGCAGCCACTAATTATTAAATTAGTCATTTTTGTATATATATGCTATAGCATAATGTTTTCTTACATGTATGTTGAAAGGTAAAATTGTCAAATTTTTCTAATTCTGGGGTGTTAATCGCCCATTACTTTGCCAGCATAGTCCAGATATTTTTTATATAAAATTTTATTTTTTGTATTAATAAAATGTGCTTTTTTGACCTTCGAAACTCACTTAACCCCTTAAATACATATTTATGTACATAAATACAAGAAGAAAGCCTAAATGCCGTTAATTATACAAAATACCAAGAGGAAAAATTCTTTTTCTTGCTACCCGGCAGAAAATACGTTGTTTCGTCCCCGATTCCACG